ACTTTGCTTGCAGACTGGTGTTTAAGAATTTACATTGATAGGATTTTTTATTATTTGTTTTCTACATTCTTTGCTGAGTAAGTTTTTATTGAAGAGTAGGAGGGTTGAAGGCATTGAGTTTATTGCAGGCTTTTTGTTCGAAAACTATGTATTTAGATTACGCACTCCTAATACAATAAAGGCAGGATTGCCAAATTTAAAAAAAAAAAAATTAAATAATCAACATCTAAATACAGTATTTATATAAACAATATTTTAAACCTCTATAAAAAAAACATGTTTGTTTAGCACCCAAAAGTATACTTTATCTATATGTTCAGACTTTAACTAGGTTGCAAACTTCGAACCAAACCCAAACCAAACTCAGACTCTTAAAGTTTGAATTTGGATCAAAAAATCAAAAATCAAAAATCAAACCAAACTCAAATTTAATTAAAGTTTGGTTCGGGTCCGGTCCGTAGAACACTAGCTATATCTCAAAAACTAAGCAATTAGAGTAAGTTGCTCTAAGTAAAAATGGTTAAATCTCCAAAAACCTTATACTAACTAAAATTTAAACTTTTATATAAAACCTTCTTATTCTAAACCTATAACCTCAAAAATCTAATTATAAAATGGAGGTATCAATATCCCTGTATCACCGTAATTAGTGTTTGCATTAAAAAAAAAATTAGGCATATAAAATTTTATATTTAATGTTTTTTAAAATTATTGGACATATGTCCAATGCCAACATCGAACGTAATATATTTAGCATATATATATGAAATGGCTCTATATCGGTTATATCAGTGTGTAGCTCGTCTACATAGAACATGATTAAAAAAAAAGAAAATACAATTTGGCCCGTCGATTAAGCAAAAAATGTAACTTATTTGAAAAATCTGTGCGTCATCAGGGCGAGGCTCAGATATTAATATCTTAAATATCGGCATAATCTTGACCTATCAAGATCTTTGACGATCTAAAGCATTGCGAATAAAGAAACCATGAGATAATTCCTTTATTGGAATATTGGAAAGATCTATAAGTCCAGTGGTTATAGCGTTAATTAAAAACTTCAATGCTAATTAAAATTTTTCAATGACACTATATCTCTAATGATATAAAGTATATTTAATACACAAGAAAGTATGACTTAATAAATAAGCAAAAAAAAAAAAACAACTTTTTGTAATGAACAAAAGCTTATGCGTGAATTATTATTATTATTAAAGAAATCAATCAGCCGATTTTGAAAAAAGAAAATCGAAATCGACCGGCTAAGCCGAAAATTGGCTTTAACCGATTTTTTCATTGCTGGCCAGGTCACTAGTTTGAGCGGGTAGCTTTTTCAAGGACGGTAGCATAATCAATTTCTTCTGCATCGGTACCCTGTACCTCGACTCCAATGCCGTCAAGTCTTTTGCGGATAGCATCCTTGCTTGAAGCGTAAAGCATTTTAAGCTTGACATTAGAAGTCATATCAGGAACCCTACACGCATAATTGGTATATTTGTTATTTTAACGTTGTGGAAATATGTATCATATATGGGGACCTCCACAGCAAAAGGTGGCAATAGGGCAAAAATTTTTATTTTGTAATTTTGTAAAAATTATATGCCGATTACTCTAATTCTTCAAGAAATTGCATTTTTAAGAAAAAAATTTTTTTGGCCCATTGCCACCTTTTGCTGTGGAAGTTCCCATATATGAAAAGCAAATAATTTCTAAAATTATGTGATTCTGGACACCCAGAACATTTTTTAGATCATGCTTATTAAAAAAAAGAGAGTTATCTATCAAACATACCAAGAAAAGAAGACGAGCTTATTACGTGGACCTGCACCAGGCTTTTCATAATCGAAATCGAAAACAGCGTAGCGAGGTTCTTCTTTTAACTCGTTAGCAAGTACATTCTTGAAATCTTCATAAGTAGCATTTTCTTCTGCCCTATCGACAACGATTTCTGGATTTCCTTTGCTATCATTAATTTTGAACAAAATATATTTGTACTTTTTTTTTAGCTTGAGTTCTTGATAAAGATCCATACATTCATCGCTAGCGGTAACACCACTTGCGCTAGACTAAAGAAAACTCGAGGTCAGTAAAAGCTTAATTTAGTGAAAATCTCAAGCACATACCATTTTGAATAAACTTTACACTGGTTAAAATTTTAAAATTTGCGTATTGGGTGTCACTTTTTAAAGGTTTCCACATTGGAATCATGTGATAAATCGGCAATAAAATTTCAAGTTCATGATAAAATCAAATTCTGTAAATTCCGTACGTACGTACGTACATTATATTTTTACAAATTCTTTCGATATTAACCAAAAATTTTAACTCCCTTTCTCACATTTTAGGTTTATTAATTAGTCGGCTATGCTACTTTCCATGGCAATCTTTAACACATTTCGTGTTGCAACATTCCGTAAAATCATATCTGTAAAAATCGTACGAGAAATTTTTACCGTTAATTTCACGTGCCAAGTAGCTTGACTGTATCACGTGGTTGTTTATATTCGTCGGCCGAAAGATTATCTAACAGTACATACCCGAGACACTTTGAATAAAAATTCTGATACAACAGTAAAACTACTGTTTCTGATGGCCGTTCGAAAAATATACTATTTGTGTACTGTTCCCCATATGATTCCAAAAAAGGACATCAAGAACGATACCTTAATGTTACGGCACATATATAAATGTGTAACGATTGTTTCTCTATTATTATAGTTATATCATTGAACATTCCCCTATTCAATCGGAGTTTCTGTTGTACTCCCTACCGTCTTCTTCCGATAAACCTCTCGTCTACATAATTTTATTAGTCTTGTGTGGCTCACTTGTTCAATCATCATCTCAAATCTCTACTCTTGTAATTTCTTTCACTTTAAAAAGTTATAACTGTAAGGTTCTCAATTCTTCCATAAATAGTTATAAATATCTATTTCCAGGCCTTTATACTTGTTTCTAAACGAGTACTTGACCGTTTCAAACACAGCTGGGCTTTTACCACTTAAACTCTCCGCACCTTTGTAAACAGAATGGCTGAGATTCGCCGAAAACTTGTCATTGTTGGTGACGGTGCTTGTGGTAAAACATGTCTTCTAATCGTTTTCTCTAAAGGTACTTTCCCTGAGGTATGTAATTTTAAAAGAAAACACCAACTTAGTTATTAAGTAATCACAAAAGGAGATAAATTCGGTTGCTCCTAGAACATTTCATATTAAATCGTCAGAACGAGTTGTGGAAATTTCGACTACAGTCTTATGATAATTATTAATAAGTTATCTGTTTGAACTTTATGATGTTTTATATTTTCTACTGTATGCGATGTGATTGTGATATAATCCTTTGATTGTTTTGTTGAGGATACTGTAGATTCAACAGATTAGGAGCTTATAGCGGTTTTACAATATTTTGCATCGAAATTCTCTACTTAAATTTATTCTCACATCATTTTATTAACAGGTGTATGTTCCTACTGTGTTTGAGAACTATGTTGCTGACGTTGAAGTAGATGGCAGACACGTTGAATTGGCCTTATGGGATACAGCTGGTAATAATCTTGATTGTTATATTTTACGGCATTAGTAAATTATTATACATTAATGCATTGTTATGTTGGGAATAAATAGGTCAGGAAGATTATGATCGTCTACGACCTCTCTCTTATCCTGATTCTCATGTTATCTTGATTTGTTTTGCTGTTGACTCTCCCGATTCCTTGGATAACGTACAAGAAAAAGTAAGTATTAAAAACTTGACATTCAACTTTAATTATGATGGTATATTATATACGATTTTTAATAATTTTGATGATAAATCAATATTATGATGTACTTTGAGCAAAATATCCGGACAAAACATGAGACTTAATTTAATAATTATCGGAAATATCAAATAAGATATATTTTTAGGATTCTTGAATGGAAATCCGTTGTTTATCATCATTAAATTTATTAAGTAATTACATCAAAATTTTTAGTTCACCTTGAAATTTTAATTATATTTATATTTAATAGTGGATTTCAGAGGTAATGCACTTCTGTCATGGGTTGCCTATCATCTTAGTTGGATGCAAGAAAGATTTGAGGTTCGATCCCAAGACTATTGAAGAACTTCGCAAGACTTCTCAAAGGCCGGTGACACCTGAAGAGGTATAACAATAAAAGAGCATAGATCTGCTATTTATTATTTCATACTTTATATATTTGTCTAATTTATGTGTCATTTTTAAAACAAGGGTTTGAGTGTCTCTCAAAGAATTGGTGCCTATAAATATCTTGAATGCTCAGCCAAAACTGGTGAGGGTGTTCGCGAGGTGTTCGAACATGCTACACGGGCAGCACTTTTGGCCAGGGGGAGGAGGAAGAGAAATACTTCACACTGTTTAGTTTTGTAAAGAAAAAGGTGATTCTGTCTCTATGAATGATTATATAAGCAAATAATGGAAAAATTAGGATTTAATTTTGTTTAATCTCAACTTTTTACATGAGAATTTCTATTTCTTCATTGAAATCTTTTAGTATTCTCTCTGTCAAATATCAAATATACATTTTTTATTATATACAAGTACAATTTTATCTGTGCTTTTTACTTTGCTTGCAGACTGGTGTTTAAGAATTTACATTGATAGGATTTTTTATTATTTGTTTTCTACATTCTTTGCTGA